CTGCCTAGGATATTTTCCCTCCCCTGTTTTCTTGGCCTGGTTCTATTCATCCTTGAAGTCTCAGCATAAGCTCCCCTCAGGGGAGCTCTGCTTGCCTTGCAGATTTTGCTATATGGCCTTGTTTTATGGTCTTATTGAAAGCTACAATTTTCCTTTATACTGTATAAACCTAATTAAGTAGTTATTCATGCAAGTATTAGTTTAATACTCTGCTTTCTTTTTGAACTATAAGTTCCATCTGTGCAGGGACCATGTCTGAGTCGTATTCCATTGTATATTTATGCCACATCTTCTTTATCCATTCATCTCTTGATGGCCACCTAGTTTGATTCCATATCTTGGTAATTATAAATAATGTTGCTATGAATACTGCGGTGCATGTATCTTTTCAAGTTAGTGTGTGTGTGTTTTTTTTAATAGAAAATATTTCTTACGTGAGCTTTCTATACGGGTTGTTGATGTCCAATCTGGCTTCTGGCTTGGACAAGAGAATTGTACAGTGCCTGCTAAGTTGTTCTCAGGCTAAGGGGCTAAGTTCTCAGTGTGCCTGTTGAGCGTTTCAGATATAGAAAGTTACTGAGGATGTAAAAACCTTTGTAGAAATGAAATGCACAGAAACTCTAACCATGAACAATCCTGACACCACATGAGGCACACTTGAGAAAGGGACTTTCTTTGGAATGTGAGAAGAAACCAAGTTAAATGAAGATGGGAGCAGCATTGCTCACAGAAGTGAGATCAAACACTCCATAGAAAATACATGTTACGGTGCAATTGCCCTCTGGGAGTTACAGGATTATGAAAGTCTAACTTAATTAAGGGAGAAAATAGGTCACATTTAACAACCACATACATGACACATCATTTTGATTATATAGAAAAACTGAAGAGGAGAGAAAAATTAAGAAATCAGAAATACAAGAGAGTCAACCATGGAATGCAGCAATCTCTTCTCCTCCATCTATGTCAGGTATATGTTTTGATTTTGTATATATAAAAAATTCACCATTCTTCTAACTTCCCTCTTTAAAAACACTCGCAGTATACTTGAAAAAGAAATTTCAGATGTGAAAAGAAAGAAACAAAATGACCCAATGAAAATTTTTTAAAAAAACTGAATTAAGAGGTAATAAATATTCTTCTCATAAAAATATACCTTGCACCTACTTTCCTTTCTCCCCCTTGTGTTATCAAATGACAGGTAATCAGGTACTTGTGAAACCTGCATGAAATCTTCCCGGTTTCAGGGCTCAAAGTCCCTGTGAGGTCGAGCTAATTACAGGTACATTTCTTCTGCAAGGCAGTCACACTCTGTTGAAGGCACAATTAATAATTGAACAAAGCTAGCTGGGGTTTTTTGCTCATATGGCTAAGGGTTGCAGTAGCTTTGCTGTCACACAGGGAGCAGAGCCTCTTCACTGGGTGTCTCCATGAAAGGCTTAGCATTATAGGCTGAAAAGGATCACCCCCTGTTTCCAAATTTTGAAAAGAATAAAAAACACACATAAAACAAAAAATCCTGGTTTCCTGTATAGCAGTAAAGGCAGATTCTCTCTCCTGTCCTCAGGAATATGATTATGATCAGGTGGTTATTTAGGTCAGATGTGAAAGAGATGAAAGAGTAGGCTTGGGAATTAATACCTGTTGTAGACAGAATTGGAGTCTGCCCTTGAGTCTGTGAATGCAGCAGGGAACTAGTTTTGTATGCGCCAGAATAGAATTTCACCCATAGAGAGGGCCTAGATAGAGGATTATAGAAGAATAAAGTTCTTTCCCTTGAGATGTCTTTAGGAATTTAATGGGGGATATCCCCAAAGCCCCACGGAATCATAGATGAGTGCAGAAAATCCTTGACCTAAGCCCCAAGCCATAATCTTGAGCAGGGGTCTGTAAACTATTCTGTAAAGGGCCAGGTAGAAAATATTTTAGGCTTTAGGGGCTAAACCACATCTGTTGCAACTAGACTCTGCTGTTTTATTAAAAAAAAAAAAAAAGCATCCATAGACAACGTGTAACTGAATAAGCATGGTTTTGTTTCATTAAAAGTTTATTTATGGGCACTGAAATTTGAATGTCATATATTTTTTTGCATGTTAAATAATAGAATTCTTTTGATTTTTTCTAACCATTTAAAAGTTGCTCTAAGCTTGCAGGTGGTAAAAATGTGAGGCAGGTTGGATTTGACCCAGGGACTAGTTTTCTGATCCCTAGGCTGACTATTGGGAATCCCTGTGTGTACACCAATTTTTCTAGTTGATTTTGAAGTCCCTAGTGTTCTCTGACCGTATGTAAATGCTGCCTTTATTGTGAAAGATCTAGCTTGTCCTTTGGTCTTTTGATAACTTGAAACATCATGGATAACCAGGTTATTCAGGGTTCAAACCATATGTTTACTATCGTGAAAAAGTCTACTAGAGTTAGCCATGAAGATCTAAACTCCTAGAACAAGCCTGGGAAGGCCTTGAAACTCCGGTTTGATCTCATTACTTTACTAAACTGAGGGGATAAAAAAGAATATATCTTTAGGTTCAGATCACCAATAGCATTTTTCCCTGAAAAAAAAAACACCCAAAACTGTTTACTAGTCAATAGTACACCAAAAGAATAAAGTATTTTTATTAATGCAGTTCATTTCTTGATTATAACTTGAATATAATCTATCTTCCTTCCTTCTTCCATTCTTTTATCTCCACTTATTCCATAAAAAATTGAGATTATAAGTAATATATGTATATAAAGATTTAAATTAATTACAAAAGGTGAGACAATATGAAAATAATGGTAAGAAAACAAGATGAAAGCAAGAGTGTGTCTGTATATGGACTTGATATCATACAATTCCACATAGTTTATTTAAAATCCACTTCATTAATGTGTAATTTATATATGATTCCCTCTATTCTTTCACAGACCAGTCATAAATTTGGCTCTAAGTTTGGTAACAGTCAATACGATGAAGGACTCATGATTATTTGTAAAAACTCACTGGGTTCATTTTAAAAAACAAACCATTGTTTAGAGAAAGGACAGTAGAAACATTGAAAACAAAGAGGAGCTTTCTCAAAGTGTCCTTTCAGAGGAAACTATGTAGTACAATTAACCGTCTCTCAAAAACAACATTGCAGGAAATGCAATGATTTTAGAGGATATCTTTTATAACAGTGGTCCCCAACCTTTCTGGCAGCAGGGACCAGTTTCGTGGAAGACAATTTTTCCACAGACTGGGCGAGTGGGGAGGGAGAGTGGGGACAATGGTTCAGATGGTAATGTGAGCAATGGGGAGCGGCAAATGAAACTTCGCTCACTCGCCCACCACTCACCTCCCACTGTGTGGGCTGGTTCCTAACAGGCCGCCGACCAGTTGCAGTCTGCGGCCCAGTGGTTCGGGACCCCTGTTTTGTAACATCCCTAAATATGTGCCCAAAACTTTTATACCAAATAGTCATTTAGTAAAAGCACTTCTACATGGGAAAGGTCTAGGTGTTGTGGTATTGAGGGTTAATATAATTCCATTCAAGGAGAATGTGCTCTGGAGGTTTAATTTAATCCAGGGGAAATGTATATGATATCCAGATAATATATTATCTGATATTCACGCTTCAGATAAGCCTGCATATGTATTTTTTTCCATGTGAGGTTTAAGATGGGAATGAGAGGATATGAGTTTGAGGTTGATCCCTCAAATAAGTGCTTCATTTATTGCTTTTATATATTATCAATAAATGACAAGCTGTATGCATTAACAATAGAATGGGTTTTGAGTGACATTGTCTTAAGAAAATAGAAGCCTCTAATAAGAATAGCTGCCTAAATAAAAGGCCATTCCATAGGTTAGTCCAAACTTCACCTGATAAATTAATTTGAGGGCTAATATGAAAGGGAGGCCCATATTCTCACACCACAAAATACAAAATATTTAAAGATGCTACAACCAAACACTACCCTGGCCTGGCCTTTTAGAAGTATCTCGGGATAGCTCCCATTGCCTATCTAGCTTTGCACAACAATTTTTCATGGTGTTCATTTCAGAATTAGTATGTTATAAACTAGATGTCTAGATTTTATACGAGAAAACTTTAAAAGAATATCAGATATAAATTAGTTAAATGTTGGGGGTTAGCTACCAAAATAAATGACATTTTATAAGAATAATTGATCCATAGTTCCTCCTTCTGGAAAAACTAAATAGCAGGCCCCATTCTACAAATACTGTGTCATTCGCAAAGGCATGGTTTTGCATATAAGAAAATTTCATCTGTCGAGTAGGGGAGGATGCATGCAGTTAATACTAAATAATTTGGTAAAGTATTTAAATGAAGCTCAAAAGGCAGCAGAACCTCAGAACCTGGTTATAGTGGGAGGAGGAGGGGAGAATGCAGAAGACATTCCTGAGAAATGATTTTCTGACTTTTACTGAATTAGCATCCATAGCTGGGGATCCATAATGAGCTCATGAAATTTAGTCCATGCCCTGGTGCCCCTCCACAGAGCAAGATGCTAAGGATAGGATATTAGAAGTCACAAACAATTTTGTATTATCCCTAAAAGATTTCATCACAAGGTGCTACATATAAGGAAACTATATTTAAAAGCAAAGCAAAACAAAAAAACATACAAAGAGCTATGGAAATTTAATCCATACAAAATATTGCTCCAAGACATTCAGGCACCAACCTGGCATATATTTCAGACACAATACTAAGTCATTTAATGCATTTAATGCTTCTATATTTGTTGCCTTGAGGAAGTGTTCTATTGAAAAATATCATATATAAATCATCAAATATATATATATATATTTTCCCCCCTATGGTTGTAGACTTTATAGAGATGGATACATTAGCCAAGACCAGAGATGACCCTAAACAAGTCCTATGTCACTACTGTAATAGTGTTTTAATAACAATATACATGCTTGCCTTTTGGATCCAATGGAATCACAGAAACATGAGGATATTCTAAACAGTGTATGACATCTGGGGGACTGGAAGATTGCTTACCAGTTGGTGTAAGGTGTCTCCAGGTGATAACAGGTTCAGGACGGCCATTGGCCATGCAGACCAGGGTCACGTTGCTGCCCTCATTCACAGTGACATCCGAGGAAATGTTGGAGATCTTTGGTGGAACTGTAAAGACAAAAGCAAACGGAATATGTAAGCATGTCAGTAAAAGCAGGTTTCCAGTACTGGTTCATGCAACAGGAAGTGGCAAATTCAAGCGAAGTGCTTTTCTGACTTAAACCATTTGAATTTTTGTATTAAGAAGTCTGGGTGCTTTTGGACATCCTTACAGACTTAGTGAGCAGATGAAAAGCATGGTTCTTACTATAAGGTGAGAATCTCTCCACTATGGTCAAGTGCTATAGGAAGTATGCAGAGCAACATAATGAAAATGTCTTAGCTCTTTTCTGATTACAATGGACCTTATTTGGTTATTAGAGAACATGTACACTTATACACATTAAGAATAAATTTTCTTATCACTAAATGTTACCGACATTTATGTTCTTATGTGTATAAAATGATTATAGCCCACTATTTACTCCAAATGTCAGGAAAAGAAAAGGAGTGCTATTTAATGTCGGATTGCAGAGTTGTGTCATAAAGATGCAGTAATACCTTGTTGCTTATAATCTAGCCACAAAAGGAAACACTTGGTTAATCACTACAAGAGAAAACCTCTAAATATCATCTTGGTGTGTGACAGGCCTGATGATGTACCTTAGAGCTTAAAAATGGAATTAATGAGGCCTATGTCACAGACAGGTAGACTTTATAAAAATACTACTATTACTCCTAATACTATTACCACCGCTACTACTAACACTTTAATAATAGCTAACTTTAAGCATTTACTATACATAAGACCTTATGTAGATTACTTTATAAGTACTGTATTATCTCAATAACTCCTTATAATAAGGAAATAATACCCTATGAGGATTTTATTTATGGGTGGAAAACTAAGTTATAGTTATAGGCTAGGTGAGAAACAGAAAACAGATTTGAATCTAAAAAGACTCCAGGGCCCAAGCTCTTAAGCCCTACTTGAATGAATCTTCATCTTCACAATCCAGGCTACCAGATGGCCAAAAATGACAGAAATTACTTCTCCGTGATATGAGAAATGAGTCCCCAAGGGCTAGCTGCACTGCCGTCTGACTTCCTTCATTAGTGTTCTGGGTGGCAACATTAGATCTCACACTGGTGGGCTTAAGTGGAAAGTGAATTACTTACAAATTTCATCACAGAGGTTATGCACTGATTACAAATTGCAGAGTTTATGCTTTGACTGTGATTTTCCTTTTTTTTAACTCTTAGCTGCTTATGCTGTCTCTGAAAAACTATGTGTCAGGGGAGGGAGGAAGACAGAGTATGAAGTATTTCAATAATTAAAAAAACTCTTATTTTTTCTCACTCTTCCTGCCCATTATAGACTCTGTGCAATGACAAATAAAACAGGAACATTTTCTGCTTGTAGAGGCAGCTGCCTGACAACTGTATTAACCCTGCAGATCCCTGTTGGCAGTTATTGATGGTACCTGGGCAGCTGACCAGGTCAGAGTGTCACAAGGAGGAAGTGGGAGGAGGATCCTCTTGACCTTGGCATTCTTCTCACAGTGACATCTGATATGGCCTCTGGGTAGGAACCAGTGATTCCAAATCAAACCCAATGGCAGAAATAGAATGTAGTTGATTCCTGTCACTTAGCAACTTCTATTTGTAGAGTTTCTGTTTCCCCTTTGGGTTCAGAGTAGTTTTCTCATATTCATACACTGACTTACAATATACCCTCCCAGACTTTTACAGTGAGGACCTGAAAGGTTATATCCATTTAATAGGGAAGAATATGAGGCACAGAGTGGATCACATGGATTATCAAGGGTGATCACATCACGAAATATGGCTAGGCTTAGAACCCAGAGCTCCTGAATGTACAATTGTTCTACTGTTTAATATTAACAGTTTTTAATTCCCAGTCGAGTAAGCCATGGTTCTGAACATGTCCAAAAACACCTACAATACAACCTATGATCGTGTTTGAGAACAAGACTTGGACATCCTAGGTACCTCCCTCAACAATCTAAGACCTGTAACAGGAAGCTATATAGTAATTGTAAAAGCTCACATCACTCAATTCAAAGTTTATTCTGAACTCCAAGACAGGACATAGAGTAGAGAAAAGAAACACAGATGTGTTCTGATTTTAAAAAAAAAAAAAAGTGGAGGGGGAAAGATTCCATATCCCTAGTATATAAACATGTAAATTTACAAAATAGAAAAAAAATCTCCAGTGGCCAAGATCTGAGAGAGTTATTATCTATGATAAAATTTACTCATATTGCCTCTCCTTTATAGGCGGAATATATATGTACTAAGGACTTTGATTTTACATGGCACACAAGTAAGGTCACTTGCTCAATATTACATAGACAGGTAGTAATAAAATTGGGAATAAAATCTAGAATAATTAGCTACAGGGCTATGCTTTGGCCACCAAACTATATTCTTTCTCCTAATTAAGGACAGTATATTCAGGTCCTGAATCTCAGACACTGGAGATACACAAAGTGTTTGTGTTGAACAGTTAGAAATGCAATCATGTTGACACTGTATCCCACCTTCCTCTGGGTCACTAACCAGTAGTTTCACTCCATCATTTATCTTCCTACTTTATTGTACTTTGTATCAGCTTCTTGCCATAAGCATTTATATATGATGTAGCCTTTTTGCTCTAGAAAGAAAGCCCTCCCCAAATCCCATCTTACGTTCTTATTTACTTTTAACTTCTCTATCTCCAAATTTTTGAAGGAATTGTTCTATGCCATGTCTTCATTTCCCATTCACACTCCAACCTTCAGTGCAATCTGCATTCTCTCATTAACCTCCAAGAAACTGCTCTCAAGAGGCTCACCAATTTGTTTGAACCATATTGTTTTCAGGTCCAACGAAAATTTTTGTTATTATTCCTATTTTTCACTGAAGTAGTTGACTTTGTTGACCGGAACCTCATTCCTCCTTTCCTTAGTTTCTAGGTCACAAACTCAACTGCTTTTCCTCTTACCCTTCTGGCCAACCTTCCAAGTTTAACTTTTGGTCTTATCTTGTCCCCTTCCTTAAACATCTGAAGGTTTGATCACTGTCTTCTGTTTAAATATTACTCACTGTGATCACTCACTACTCATCTACTCTTGAGCTTCAGAAGCTAATGTCATGCTATTGATGACTCCCAAATCAGTAACTTCAGCCCATATTTTTCTCATGACCTTTATATCTGCACTTTCAATGAACCAACTATTCTACATCTCCACTGAATGTCTCACAGAAATCCAGGATTCAACGTACCCAGGGGTCATCGTCTTCCTTCCCACAGAGAACCTGTAATCTTGTGATCACTTTCTCAGTAATGGTGTCCCCATGAAAACAGTTGCCCAAACCAAAAAAGAAGTTTATCTCCCTCGACAGCTCTCTCTCCTTTACTGCCCCCATATAAAATGGATCCCCAAATTCTACGGCTTATGACTTTTAAATATCTCTTAGATTCATTTATCACTCTCAATTCCTCTCTCAATTCCTATTCCTACTAGCCTTGTTCCAACCATCAACATTTCTTTTTATTTTTTTTTGCCTGAATTACCGCAAAAGCATTACAACTAGTTTCTTTGCCTCTAGTCTTCTTCTCTCCAAGCTCACTGTCATTCATTCACCATACTGCAATTAGAATTTTCCCCCTAAATTGCAAATATGAATATGGTATCCTCTGATTAATTTCATTGCCCTCAAAATAAAAACTTCTTAATATGGCTTAATAGGTCATTCATGGTTAGCCCCTGCTTCTCTCTCCTGCCTTATTTCCTATTCCCTTTGCGTTGCATCATCCAGTCAGGTCAAACAACTTTTGATTCCTGTAATATACTATCTTTGTTTACTCCCAGGCATTTAAAATTCTATCTTTTTCTACATGGAATGTCTTCTTTCAACTCTTCATGTGACTCTTCCATTTCCTCCTTCAGGTCTCAACTTAGCTTGTTTTCTCACTTTTTGCAGGAAGACTGTCCTGTCATCCCCCACCTACCCCCAACCCCACTCCTGATTCCATACTGGGTGCCCCTCCTGTGTTCTAACACTGTACCTGTATTTCTCCACACAGCACTGGACCATAATTGCTGGATTATTTACCTATGCCTGTCACTAAACTGAAAGAGGCAGACAGGAAGGCCTTTGTTTTCTTGACCACTGAATCTTACAGAACACGGTACTTGGAATATGGTAGGTGCTCAGTGTGTTTGAAAAGAGAAATGAATGAAATTTTTCTCTCCAACTCTTTTCTGAGCTCAAAGAAGTCATCTCATTAAATTTTTGTCACAAAGGAGCAAGCTTTTATTCTGAACCAGTAAAACACTTTTATCAATATTTCTTTAGTTACCCATCTAGTCATCTATTTCACCATCAACTTTGACTCAATTAAAAAAAAATTGAGGACGAGGGGAAGATGGCGGAAGAGTAAGACACCTTCCTCCCCACAGATACAACAGAAATACATCTACACGTGGAACAACTCCTACAGAACAACTACTGAACGCTGGCAGAAGACCTCAGACCTCCCAAAAGGCAAGACACTCCCCACGTACCTGGGTAGGGCAAAAGAAAAAAGAATAAACTGAGACAAAAGGATAGGGATGGGACTGGCACCAGTGGGAGGGAACCGTGAAGGAGGAAAGGTTTCCACACACTAGGAAGCCCCTTCGCGGGCGGAGACTGCGGGTGGCGGAGGGGGAAGCTTCAGAGCCGCGGAGGAGAGCACAGCAACAGGGGTGCGGAGGGAAAAGCGGGGAGATTCCCGCACAGAGGATCAGTGCCGACCGGCACTCACTAGCCCGAGAGGCTTGTCTGCTCACTCACCGGGGAGTGAGGCTGAGGAGCTGAGGCTCGGGCTTTGGTCGGAGCGCAGGGAGAGGACTAGGGTTGGTGGCATGAACACAGCCTGCAGGGGGTTAGTGTGCCACAGCTAGCCGGGAAGGAGTCCAGGGAAAAGTCTGGACCTGCCGAAGAGGCAAGAGACTTTTTCTTCCCTCTTTGTTTCCTGGTGCGCGAGGAGAGGGGATTAAGAGCGCTGCTTAAAGGAG